CTGCCTTTACTCTGACTAGGTAGATAAGTAAGCTAGACAAACTAAGTAGTGTTTGCACAATAGAAATGAATAGGATCAAACATTTAAACTTCCTGGAAATCAGCACAAAGTTGCCAGGATTGCTATTCGGCAGGAATGTGTCACTGCAGTCTTCCTGACTGTCTTTAGCTGACCTCTATGCTGACTAGTCAGATGTCCGTTTAAACTGGTCAGAGATCCTGCTCTCTAGGTTACTCAACTCTCATGGGTGTTAAAGGGTAGAACTATCAGTAAACATGTCACTAATGGTCACTGATGGTCATTGATGTCATCTTGTACCTACTTAGAAACATGGTCTCAGGTTGTGCCCTTATGAAGGGTTAAGCCATGGGAGTCTGCTCAGCATCCTTCCTCCAGGAGACTGTGATGTTTGGGTAGAGTTGGCCCTGCCTTTCCCCTTTACTACAGGGGTAACATGAGACCCAGGCTTGATCAATTGGATTACTCCATTCCTCATTTATGGGTTTGATGATGGCATATAACCCGGGACTATTAGGCTTTCTCTTAGATTCACTGAGGAAGAAGTACAAAAATGAGATAATCCTTAAGCTCCATCTTTGCCACCACATAGAGGCTTCTCACTTGAGAATGATGTCGACTCAGCTAAAAGCCAAACCACAAGGCCATAAAAGTCCTCATAGCATCATTTGAACCCTTAGATCTAGGCATGCCTAAGTTAGGCCATTTTTTTTTAGATTGTCTGATGTGTGAAATCATGTTTCCTTTTCTGTCACCTATAACCAGATGCATCCTGAGTAATACAGGTGGCCATAATTGAATCGGTTGGCCTCTAAAGAACATGTTAATATCCAAAACAACAATGATCATTGCTCACATATATGCAGTGTCACCACTGTTATACAAGCATTTGCCATTTTGATTTAGGTACCACAATCCTATATTCCACACCAGGAGAAACCAAGTAACTTATTCAAATACACATAGTTGGTAGGTAGCTGAGCCAGAATTTGACCTAGGAAATTTGGTTGAGAATCTGTGGTATACTATACTAGAAAGTTCTGCCCAGATAATGGATGGTGGATATCTCTTCTCTTCAAGATCAATATAACTCTCATCTCTGCCAGCTGTTTGATTCTAACTATACTAATATTTGCCTAGAAAATATTACATGTTATAAGGGATTGGAGTCCAAGACTCTTTTTTCTTTGGATGGAAGGCCTGAAGGGCTGCACCCAAGAAGTAAGGGGGAACCAGAATTAGAGAGGCCCTCAACGGCACTTTATCTAGTCTTCTGATATTTTTTACTAGGCTCACTCTCCAAATACTTCAGACTTTCCTGTAAGAGTTTTCCTTTCGGCTTGGTGCGTGTGGCTCAAGTGGCTAAGGCGCCAGCCACATACACCCAAGGTGGCAGGTTTGAATCCAGCCCAGCCCACCAAACAACAATGATGGCTGCAACCGAAAAAAAATAGCCGGGCATCGTGGCGGGCACCTGTGGTCCCAGCTACTCGGGAGACTGAGGTAGGAGACTCTCTTGAGCCCAGCAGTTGGAGGTTGCTGTGAGCTGTGATGCCATGGCACTCTACCAGGGGGACAGCTTGAGGCTCCTGTCTCAAAAAAAAAAAAAAAAAGAGTTTTCCTTTCTGTGTCAGGCTCCAATAGACTTAACCTCTATGACATCTTAATACACTATATGTAGAAGAATGGAGATTTGGTTGAGTGGAACACCAACTGCAGAGCAAGATATCAAATGCCCTAATTATCCATGCTGGTTTTCTCTTATTGTCCTTCACCCAACCCACATTCTCCAGAAAGATTCCTCTTTAACTCTCCAAGCTCTTAGAAAGTAGGCTGTTCAGGAGAAAGAATCTGGCTCAGGGAAGTTGACCTCTCAACCCCACTGTCCTGGCCACAGTCTGTAAATGAAGGAAGCTTTTGACCCAAGGGCAGGTATTGGCTAAGGATACATGAATTCCTTTATCACAGGAACTTTGATAAAAAGGTGATAAATGCTGTGAATTAAACCAGATATTCTTGCTATTACAGTGTAGATGTGAAAAATTTAGAGAGAATTAACAGTTGCTAGTAAGAGAAGGAATTTAAAGACGTAGAAAAACTTATTAGCAGAATTTATGGGATAGACTAAGTCATGGGTCCTTAGATACTATAAAACACAGGAAAAAGAGAGGTGAGAACTCCAAGATCAGTTAGTAGCAATAGAAAGAATAATGTGTTAACCAAGAGAAGAGCTCAAATTCTAGTCGGTGGGGATGCAGATATTAATAAAATCATCACACAAATGGATGTAAAGTTGCTGCTCTGATGGGCACTATAAAGAAATGTTATATGGTGTAAATAAAAGCTCACATTAAGGAGAGTAGTTCTGAACCAGTCAAGATGTGGTTGAATATGGAGGAAGATGAGGCTGGAAAGATGGGTAAATTGCCAAAAAAAAAAAAAAAAAGTCAAGACTACAGAGATTGAAGAATCCAACAGTTAGCACTGGGAAGAGGAGGATGAACAAAAATGGGAGACAAAATCAGAGCAACTCAAGAGAGAGAAGATGAATCAGGAGACGGAATAATGCTCATTGGATTCACCAACATGATAGTCATTCAAAAACTTTATTTGGGATAATTTGTTTCTGAAGAAACAAGTATTTCCAAACATGATTTTATTTAATTCTTATATCTCTTTTTCACGTCTTTCCTTCCAAAAACAATGCATGATTTGCAACATGAATACAAGTAAGGAATCCAGAGAGAAAGATGAGGTATAGAACCATCTGTATAGTTAAAAAAAATTTTTTTTGGATACAATCTCTGTTGTGCTTTAAAAAAAGAACTATTTTGTAATATGTTTGTAAGTGCCCCTTATATGTGTACAGACAACAGTTCATTAGAAATGCATAACTAAATGTTAGGAAGGAGAATATTTACCCTACTTTCAAAAAAAAAAATTCATCCCTACATTGAAACTATGTGTTTAGAGTAGTGTTTTTCATGGCACACGTGAACCTATAATTAAACTTCTGCAACCCACTTAAATTATGTTGATCAAAAAGAAGAGCTTAAAAAAAAAAGGAATATATTTACTGTGGTTTGAACTCCTTTCCAAAATAATTAATTAATGACCTTTAAAATTTTTTGTGGCACACCTCTCACAACACACCACACGCCACAGCACATGAGATGAAAATCACTGGTTTAGACAGATGAGAACAGAAGGACTAGCTAGAGATTGTAGAGAAAAGGAAAAGAAATGAGGGCAGTGGAAGGGCTATTTTAAAGGTGATTGAAATGAAGGCACAGAGATGCATCCCAGCCACCAGAATGTATTCCATATGCATTCAGCCCACTTGCTGATGGTCAGCTGCACAATGAACAGATGACTTCAGCAGGCTGAGCCTCATGATTCCTACATGTTTCTCCTTGAAGTCTAGAAGGATTTCCTGGCCTGGAAGTGCATGAATGACTGAAATTGCTTTTCCCAGTGGCATTATCTTAGCTCTTGCCTGTAATGACTCAGCTGTTGCTGGGCTGCCCAGCTACTTAATTGGCTCTGTTTGGCCCCACTGCCTTGATTAACCCAAGAAGCTGGATTATCAGCTAATGTCACTACTTCACTGCTTCTTCTAGATCATTCTGAGGCTTGACAAAACCGATTATACTTTTGATTCAGGGGTATCTGACTCCTAAGACCTGAATGTTTTGTTCTTGCTTTGTCTTTCCTATCTTTGAACCCTTTAGCATGGCATGGCTGACAAGCCATGTTGACACACTTTGTGGTCACCATGGCTTTCTCATATAGGTCAATACAAATGCCTCTGAGGTCTTGTGAGTTTGTCAAGATACAGCTCCTTTCAATTACTCTATTGCTTGCTCTTTAAAATTGGAAACATTCTCATACCCCTGGAGGGCCTGGGGGCAGAAGGGAATTTGTACATATAAAACGCTACTCATCTAAACAGGATGTGAGTGATTTTATTAATTATGTTGTGCTTTGAGATCCTTGCTTGAAGAGTGCTTTGTAAAAATAGAAGGAATATTTGGCACATGTCTTTTTGTGCAGGGATGGCCATGGCAGGATGACACTGGGGCCCTTTGGAGAGCAGGCACTGTAGCCACATCCCCTTTGAAATACTCAAAGCCTCTAATTAACTAATTTCTGATCCTTCTTCCAGATATTAGCCAGAAGACAGGGAAGGTTCCTGCTCAGACAA